GGGGGGGGGGGGGGGGGGGGGAACAAGGCAAAGCACCCCTCTGGCCCTTGGCTGACCACAGCTATCTGCTTCACCATCTTGAAAATCTTGTGCCACAGCCTGTGGGAGGGCAGGAGGCAGGGTCAGGGTGGGACAGGGCACACAGGGAGGGACAGGAGGGCTGGGCAAGGCTGGAAGCCGACCTGTGGCACCCCCTACTGTCTTAGGGCATGGTACCCCTCTGCACCAGCAGAGTAGGGTGGCCCACTTTTTGTTTTTTTTTTTTTGAGACAGGGTCTTGCTATGTAGTCAACTCATTATGTAGCCCAGGTTGGCTGCAAACATGGGGGGATCTTCCTGCCTCAGCCTCCCAAGGGCTGGGATTACAGCTTCGTGCCACCACAGCTGGCTGGAATAGCTCTTTTAAAGGTGTGATTCCAATAGTGTGCCAGTTTGGTGGGGGCCAGATCAATCAACCCCAACTGGCACCTATAGTCCCAACCACTCGGAAGACTGAGGCAGGAGGATCACTTAAACCTAGGAGTTCCAAACCAGCTTGGGTAACATGATGAGACCCACTCTCAAAGAAACAAAACAAACCAAAAAATCCCAGCACTCAGGAGGCTGAAGCAGGAGGATCAGTGTGAGTTCAAGGCCAGTCTGAAATAGTGAGACCATCTCAAAAAGTCAAAAACTGGAACAAGGGCTGGGGATTTAACTCAGTGGTTCCGGCGCCTGCCTCACAAGTGTAAGGTTCCCAAGTTTGATCCCCGGTATCAAAAAAAAAAAAAAAACTGGAACAAAACAAAAAAATACAAATCCAAAGTGAGGTCTGACTGGAGCTGGGAGTCATTGACACTTATCCCGGGCCCCAGAAAAGAGCCCTCACTAGAGAAGTCAGGGTGGAGCAGAGGCAGACAACACAGGACTGCTGGGAAGGCGAAGCTATGGGGAAGGGACAGGAAAAGATGGTGCCAGGAGCTGGTGGGTGTGGAGGGCAGCCCAGGGTGTAAGGCCACCAGAGCGGAAGTCCAGGGCACCAGAGGGGACAGTAGGAGTGGAGGGCAGCGGGGCTCAGAGCATAGAGCCCCAGGGTCGGTTGTGGTTCTTGTGTGCTGGCACTCTGTGGTACAACCAGAGTGACTTTTTTTTTGGTACCGGGGATCGAACTCAGGACCTTGCACTTGCAAAGCAGGTGGTGGAACCACTGAGCTAAATCACTGGCCCAACCAGAGTGATTTTAACAGCAGTACTGTGGTCATCCATCCACACTCCCAGGGCTGCCTGGGTTCACCTGCCCACAGCTCCTGAACCTGCTCCTGCTCCCTGGGTGTTTTAGTTAACTTCCCCAACTCTGGGACACAGTAACCAACACCCCAGTCTTGAAGGAAGACAGGTTGATTTGGGCTCATGATTTCAGCAGGTTTGGTCCATGGCCCACCAGCTCCAAGGCAGAAACAACATGGTGGAAGGGAATAGCTAAGAAAAACTGTTAGACTCCTGGCAGCCAGAGACCAGTGAGAGAAGAGAGGAGCTGGGAACAAGAACACACCTTTCCTGGCCACATTTCCAGTGACTACCTCCCAGCAGGCCCCACCATTGAGCATGAGACTCTGGGGGTACATTTTAGATCTAAATCATAACATGTCACCTCTGGTCCCCAAAAGGCTCATGTCTTCCTCATTATACAAAGAGCCTTTAGTCCCTAAGAGTTGCCAAAGTCTTAACAGTTCCAGCATTGCTGAAAAGTTCATCCAAAGTCTCTGAGACTCAAGGCAAACTGTTAGCTGTGAAAAATCAAAAACAAAGTTAAATACTTCCAATGTACAATAACACATGGTAGGGCTGGGGATTTAGCTCAGTGGTGCCACTGCCTGCCTCCCAAGTGCAAGGTCCTGAGTTTGATCCCTGATACCAAAAAAAATGATTAAAAAAAATAAAAACAAGGGCCAGGGATTTAGCTCAGTGGTTTTGCCGCCTGCTGTGCAAGCGTAAGGACCCAAGTTTGATCCCTGGTACCAAAATAAATAAATAAATAAATAATAAAAACAATAAAAAACACTAACCATTCCCATACCAAAAGGGAGAAATAGAGGCATAAAAGAAATGAGACCATCCATAATTTCAGTCTCAGGACATGGGCAAAATATAAACAAATTTTTTGCAAGAATGTAACAGGTAGCTTCTACTCCAAATGGCAAGGGAGTCCTTGTTTCCAGCTGAAACCCCTGAGCCTGGACTTTACTGTCTGCATTCTGGTCTTCTGAGCTCTGACCAGAATCCCTCATCAAGCTCAGCTTCAGCATTCTAGGGCTTCTGTAGCCTGCATCTCCAAATCTTTCTAAATTCCTCCCATGAACCAGCTCCAGAGGCTTCTGAACCACTTGGTCAAGTATAGTAACAGCAACAACCCCATTCTTGGTAGCAATTTTCCGTTTTAGTCAGCTTTCCCATTGCTGGGACAAAATACATGACACTTGGAACTTAAAAGAGGAAAGGTTTTGGCTGGGGATTTAGCTCAGTGGTTGCAGCACCCGCCTTGAAAGTGCAAGGACCCGAGTTCGATCCCCAGTACCAAAGGAAAAAAAAAGGTAAAAAGAGGAAAGGTTTAATTTGGCTCATGGTTTAAGTGAGTTCAGTCCATGGTTTACTGGCTGCAAGGCAGAAAGCATGATGGAAGGGCCTTGCAGAGCAAAGCTTCTCAATCTGTGGCCACCAAGAAGCAAAAGGGAGGAGCCAAGGACTTCCAGGTAACTGCCCTAGAGATCTGCCTCTTGCCACCAGGCCCTACCTCCTAATAGCATATTCAGCTATGAACTCATCAATAGTTGGTCCGCTAGTAAGTACCATGTCCCCATGATCCAATCACCTTCCAAAAGCCCCACCTCTAAACACATGAGACTTTTTGGGAACATGGTAGATCTAAACCATGACACCATGTCTCTCCAGTGGGCATGCTGGGCTGGGCAGTGAGCATGGGTGGGGGAGACATGCTGGGGAGCTAACACCCCAGGGAACCCTTACCCAGGAGGATTCGAGCTGGAGGATGAACATTCAGATTTCTGGCCCCTCGGTGGGACCATTCTGACTCCCATGGCAGGGCATGTTCTAGAGGACTAAATATATTTTCCGTACATCTGTGGGCTTTACTGTCTTTCCTTCTTTTCTTGTCTCACCCCCACCCCCATTTCTTGGGATCACCTCCTAAATAAACTATTTGCACTGAATCCTTGTCTCTGGCTGTTATTGGGGGAATAAGACACTGGAAATTTGGCTTTTTTTTTTTTTTATTGGTACCGGGGATCGAACTTGGGTCCTTGCACTTGTGCAGCAGGTGGCGAAACCACTGAGCTAAATCCCCGGCCCAATACTTGGCATTTTTGCTAAGTGCTTTTCACTTCCATTTTCCTATCGAACATTCTTTTTTTTTTTTTGGTACCAGGGATCGAACTCCGGTCCTTGCATTTTCGAGGCAGGCACTGGAACCACTGAGCTAAATCCCCAGCCTTCGAACATTCTTAACATCCCCTGAAGTAGATATCACTCATCCAATTTTACAAATGAAGAATAAAGAGCTTAATGCAGGGATGGGATTCAAACTCAGGTCTGTTTGGTTCCAAAACCCATTGCTTAGCCCTGAGGCTCTGCAGCCTCCTGTCTTCTCAACATCTCTCTGCCTTCTTATTTCATCATTAAAATAAAGATGACTTCTTTTTTTTGTTTTGTTTTATTTTTGGTACCGGGGATCAAACTCAGGACCTTTTGCTCTCAAGGCAGGCGGCAGAACCACTGAGCTAAATCCCTGGCCCAAAGATGACTTCTTGACTTGGAAGGGAAGCAGTGAGCCCAACTCAGTCCGGAGGCCCATTTCTTGTCTCTTCCCTCTTCCTGGAATGTGGATCTGAAGGTTGGAGCTCCAGATACCGCCTTGGGCCAGGAGACAATGAAGTGTTCTAAGGTTCAGTACCAGGTAGGTGCTCAGGAAGAAGCTGAGAGGAGGGAGCCCTAGACCTTGCCCTCAAGGAGCTACTTATGTAGTGGGAGGGGTGGGTATTGACACAAAGAATGAGAGAGTAATAGAATAAATTATATCTCATATCGGCACCAGGAGAGAGCCACAGGGTATTATGGGAGCTGAAGGAGGAAGTCATCCTGCTTGGAGGATCAGTCGAAGGTCACAAAGGATGCTGCCTCGAAGTAGTGCCAGGCTTTTGGGGGTTTTTGTTTTGAGACAGGGTCTCAATGTGTACTGTAGTTCAGGTTGGACTTAACCTTATGATAATGCTCTTGCCTCAGCCTCCAGTGCTGAGATGATAGGCATGCATCACCACGCCCAGATATTTCTTCTTTTTTTATTTTGGACAAGGCTTTGACAGGTGAGATGGAGGTGCAGCTGGAGGAGTGGAGGTTAGATCTAATTAAAAGTGAAAATAGGAACAAAGATGTAAGTGGCATGGACGGTGGCTTGGGGCAGGTACTGCGCAAGGCTTTGAAAGGGAAGGGTTTGGGAGGGAAGTCAGGGCAGGTGAGCCAGGTCTGAGGCTTAGATGCG